TTTCTCCCCACTGACTGCTGCTGGGTCCAGCGCAGCTGGGAAGGGCGTCCCTGGCCACCTCGCTGTTTGCCCTAGTAAGAGTCTACAGGGTCCCTCATTTCATTTTCCCCCAACATAACAAAGTAGGGGGCCTGGGAGCTTAGACTACTCATTGGATCCTGGAATCCTTGCTCCCTCAATCCGGAGCCTCTGTTCTGTCTCCCATGCTGTAGGCATCCAGCGGTGCCCTGAAACATGGTTTATATTCAACTTTCCCTGCCTCTTCTCCTGACCCTGTCACTTCTTCTAGAGGGCAGGGGCTGCGTGTGAGCTCGGCTTCCTCCCAATGGCTCAAGACAGGGTCTGGTATTCAGTAGGTGCTCAGTATGTGCGTGTACTGAGCACATACTCAGACTGTTCAGTCTATGAGCCACAATGGTGAGGGGTGGGTTGTGCACAGGAGGACGTGCCTCTGCGGTCGGAAGTGGCTGACCAGGCAGGCGTCTGTGTGGGTCTTCGTTGCATCTGGGCTCCTCTCTCCTTGGTCCTTTAGGGAAATAATTGGACACCCAGACAATTAGCAGACACCTCCTGTGTTCGCCCTGGCAGTGTGGGGTTGGGGAGGGCTCCTGACGGTCAGCTGGGCTGGGCTTGAAAGGAGGCAGCCAGAAGAATTACATTCTGTCATCCCCAGCCTCGAGGGGCAGGTACATTGCCCAACCTTGCACATGAGGAATTGGAGGCTCAGAAAACCTGTAGAAACTGCAGTCACATGGCTAGTGTGTGTTTGGACCGAGATTTGAACTCCCTCTTCAAGTCCCTGTGCATGCTTGTGTGTGTGTGTGTGATTCCTGGGTGTGCACCCACACGGACGTATGTACACGCATGCATGTGCCTGAGCATGTGTGCCTGTGTGTGTGTGTACATGGATGTGTCTCGAAACCACACTGCCTTCCACCATGTGTCCCTCACTGAGTGGCCGCCCTGGCTGCACGTGCCCCAGTGTGGAATAGGACATTCCAGGGAGGCCCTGGCTCCAGGCCGTGAGGAGTCTCTGGGGGAAGCCTTCAGAGCGGGAGCTTGGCAGAAAGACGCTGTGCCCTCCTTGTACCTTGAACCTCCTTTTCTCCACTGCCCCAGGCCCTGGCATGTGTAAAGTCCCCCTCCCCAGCCCCTAAGTGGCCTGCGACTACTGCCGAGCCTCTGACCTGGTGTCCCAGTTCTCTAGCTCTCAGGAGGCCTGGGTCCCCCCGGTGCCACTCCAGGCACGGAGGCGGGGCATGCTGGGGCCTGCAGAGGCTCTCCAGGGGCCTCCCACCAGGACACCATCCTAACCAAGCCCCTCCTTCCATCCTGTGTTGTTGGTTATTTTGTGTCCTTCAACTCAGGACTGATCTGGCTGCACCAAGGGCTGCCATTTCCCAAGGTCCCCAACGGGACAGAGGTTTGGGGTCACCAACTCCAAGCTCTGAGAAGCAGATAGGGTGGAAGCAGGTGGCCTCAGGCCTGTATCTCACAACGCCTCCCTCCCCAGACCGAGGATGACTTGATTTCCCCGCTGTGTTATTTAGGTCCAGAACATTCATCCCCCAACCCCTGGGGGCTGATTCCCAGCCTGGAGCCCCAGCTTCCCCAAACTTGGGGGAAAAGCCTGGCCTTCTCTCCGACTGTCCTTTCCCCAACAGCCAAACATCTGAAATCATCCCCGTTTATTTGGATAATTGAGGAGGAACAGCAGCCGGGAGTGGAACAGGCTGCTGAGTTTCTTTGAGACATTAATATTCTGCTTCTGAGAGGGATCTGTCTGAATTCCTCAGTTACAGATAATACAAATTATATTTCTAAATTCTTCCTCTAAATTAGTGCAGATGGTTAAAAATACTCTAGCCTTTTAATTAATCGTTGGAACAATAGTCTTATGAATACAAATGGATCATTATCCCCTTCTACAGATGGGGTGGGGAGGGGCAGGGGACGGCAGTCTCGGATTTGTCCGTGGTCCTTTCCTGAAGGTCGAAGGTTGTGGGGCCTTATCGGGATGGCAGGGCTGAGCCTCAGTGAGGTTCAGGAGTTGCAGCCCCCGGGGGTGGACACAGGGCCCCGCCCATTCTTTTTAGTCCCGGCTGTTTTTGTTTTGTTTTGTTTTTTAGACAGGGCCTCGCTCTATCGCCCAGGCTGGAGTGCAGTGGTGCTATCTTGGCTCACTGCAACCTCTGCCTCCTGGGCTCAAGTGATTCTCCTGCCTCAGCCTCTCAAGTAGCTGGGACCACAGGCACCCACTACCCCACCCAGCTAAGTTTTGCATTTTTAGTGGAGGTAGGGGTCTCACCATGTTGGCCAGACTGGTGACGAACTCCTGACCTCAAGTGAACTGCTGAACTCCTGAACACTGCCTTGGCCTCTCAAAGTGCTCTGATTACAGGCATGAGCCACCGTGCCCGCCAGTGCTGCCTCTTAAACCCTGTTACACTTTGATTGTGACTTTCGTTTCTCAGGTGGGACTGAGAGAGCTGCCCTCTGCCAGGAGCCCCGGTTGCCCCAGGATCCCTTTTGGTTGAGGAGAGGAGTTTGGAAAGGAAGGATCTTAATTCTTCTAGCAGGATGCCCTGTCTCTACTTCCTGATGTGGTCAGGAACTCCCTTGTCCTCCTTCCAGGCTCAGCCCCAGTGTCCCCTCTGTTGTGAGGTCGGCGTGACCTCTCAGGCAGCTTTGCTTGCATTTTCCTCTGTGTGTGTGCGTGCGTGCACATGTGCCTGTGTGCGTGGGTGTGCGTTTTCTAGAGGGTGTTTAGGTGCCGTCACTGAGATGTGACTTCCTGTGGCAGTCCGTCCAAGCTGAGGGTAGCTCCGAGTCTTCCTTTGTGTCTTTAGATCCCAGAACGGGGCTGGCCTTGGATGAGACCAAGTACCATTGAACACACTGTGCTGTAAAATTCAAAGCCATATTCAATCCTGGACATCATCACAATTAAACACTTCTGCACATCAATGAACACTACCAACAGAATGAAAGGCACCCCTGGAATGGGAGAAAATGCCTGCAAATCATATAGCTAATAATCCAAAGTATTTACAGACCTGTTGTTCAACAACAACAAACAGACCAATTTGAAAATGAACAAAGGACTTCAATAGACATTTCTTCAAAGAATAGGTACAAATGACCAACAAGCGTGTGAAAAACGCTCCACCTTGCTAATCATTAGCAAAATGCAAGTGAAACCACGATGTGATACCACTTACATCCATTAGGATGACGATTTAAAAACAACCATCAGGCCGACCACAGTGGCTCACACTTGTAATCCCAGCACTTTGGGAGGCCGAGGCTGGCAATCACTTGAGGTCGGTTGTTAGAGACCAGCCTGCCTGATCAATATGGTGAAACCCCAACTCTACTAAAAATACAAAAATTAGCCGGGTGTGGTGGCGGGCGCCAGCAATCCGAGCTACTCAGGAGGGTGAGGAAGGAGAATTGCTTGAATCCGGGAGGTGGAGCATGCAGTGAGCCAAGATTGTGCCACTGCACTCTAGCCTACATGACAGAGCAAGACTCTGTCTTGGAATAAAAAAGAAAATGGACAGTGGAGGAAGTCGTGCTACCCTGCGGGGTTGGCTTGTGTTCTAGATTCATCCCGACACCACCATGTTGAAGGTTTCCCTTAAGATCACGCTGACGCCGGATCTGGGCTGCTGCACAAAGTACTCTGTGTTCCTGAAAGGACACCTTTCACAGCAGTCTTAAAGTTTGCAGCAGAAGAATTTAAAGCTCCTGTGTAACAAGGGCGATTATTACCAATGATGGAACAGGAATAAACCCTGCACAGACTGCTGGAAATGTTTGCCTAAAACGTGGTTCAGGACTGCGGATTATTCCTAGAGACCGTGTTGGAAGTTGCTAATATCTGCTATTTGGAACGTACCATTGCCTTTCAGAATAAATAGTGGTATTTTTTGTTGTTGTAAAATTGAAATCAGGCATTTAACATACTGTGAAAACACGAGTTGATGAGTAATGAAAGGTAACTCGTCTGTCCTTTTTTGTTGTCTGTGCTCTTCATGGGAAGAGGGAACGCATATGAATTAAGGCTCCTGCCATCACAGAAGAGCATACGGCCTTTGATTGCTACCTCACAACAGAGGTAGTTTGTTGGGGGTAAATAAATTAGCCAACTGTGCTAACTGGAAGCTTCTGATAATTTTTTTGAGAACGATTCGGAACATTAAAATTTACTGAATCTTATATATTCATTTGAGTTAAAAAGATGAAAAGAATTTTGGATCATGGATGGCAGTTTGCTTGATAGGATCTGATCTGCAGACTCAGTTTAATTTTTAATTAAATATGTAGGTTATGATGAAGTCAGCACACATATCAGTGAACAGTTAACGATATTAAATTTTTATCATTTACTTTAAGATTCAAACCTTGTGTACTATATAAATTACAGTTTAATATCAACCAAAAAAATTAAAGTTTTAATCTAGCCGCCATGTGTATAAATTGATGTCCCATACCAGGTTTTAATGGTGGACTTGTGGAATCTAGCGCTAGTAATGGTGGGAATTCCCAATACAGTAGAAGATTCCTTTGCTGAGTTTTACATTCCTTTATCAATCTCTTTTGATACAACTTTTAAAACAAGTGCCTTCAAGAAACCATTGGTGTTTTGAGGGTAATATTTCTAAATGACATTCAGGAAGAGAGTATTATTGCACAAAGATCTGAAGATCAAAAAAAAAAAAAAAAGCTCAGGGAAATGTAGATCAGAAGTGCTGATGAGATCTATTTATTGAAGACCCAACGTTTAAGGAGGTGCTAAGATTAGTCAGCTATGTGAGTAAGAAGCCAGGAAAGGAAAGATGGGGAAGCCCAGACCAGCAGGCTTCTGTTAAGGAGCAGAGCAACAGAGGAAAACAGTGAAGGGAACAGAAAGGTGTAGCCAAGTTTTACAGAAAAGCCTACTGGACAGACAAAACTGCAGAGGTATATGTTGGGGAAAAACTGAGGGGGAAAGTCGTCTTAAGTAGTAGAAGGCAGTTAGAGAAAAAGTATCTACTGGCCTTGTCAATATGCAGATTTCAAAATACCCCTTATGAGAATCCAGAGAATGATGTGTATATGGGAAGATTTTATTTGCCCTTCCAGAAGAAATCAGTATCTATGCAAATCTTGAAAGATGAAATTAAAGGTCGTAATGATTCAGCATCAGTGCTTGACCTGCTGTATCCTGAATGGTGAACTCTGGAAGCAGGGATTGTGTTTGTCTGGCTCTTTAGAGCTAGAAATGTAGTGGCTTTCATTAAATATTTGCTGTAAAGTCTCTCCAAGACCAATTATCATCTTGGCATGTTTCAGTATCTTCTCTGTCATAGGCCGTACGCTCACTGGGGGAAAACAGAAGAAAATTCATCAGATTCAGCGTTTGAAGTGTGCCATTGGTAGTCTATGAAATTACCAGATATTTGTAAATGTGACGAACAGCAGGATTATGCATTGTCAAAGGAAAAAAAATTGCTGAAATAAAATAAATAAAATAAATCTGATGTCTGAGGAGGTTTTTATTTTTATAAACAAAATCTGATGTTCAAAGACCTTTGCTTCTTACAATAAATAATGAGCCTCAGTTAACCAGAAATTTATGGACATTCATTTCCTGACTTTATGCTTTAATTTAGATTTTTCTCCACTCTGTTTCCAACACAAAAGTTTGCCACAAATTTATGTTGTCCTGTGCCATAAAGTTATATATTTAATATTTTTATACTTTGGTTTTGAAAATTATATTGTAAGTTCCTAACTAAACATTTGTTATTAAATGTGATCTGTAATTCTTTGTGCAGAATGTGATTTGAAGTATTTAGTTGACATGGATTATTGGTTCATAATTGATATCTAATGAAAATACATTTTGTTATATTGAAAAAAAAAAAAGAAAATGAAGACCTGAAGTGACCAGAACAGACAGCGTATCCACCTTTTAGACAAAGAAGTTCGTGAGAAAATGACGAGGCAAAGGGGTCTGGGCTAGGGGCAGTGAAGTGTGTGGACGGGATGGGAGCTCACTGCAGGAGACTCTTGAAGGTCGGGTTTACTTGGCAGGCTGGCTTTGTGGCTTCGTTTCAGCACCGCGCCCCCGTCTCTGGTGATGGGACACTTGTCTCTTCCTGGTGACAGGGAGGACATCTTTCTCAGGGAGATGTTATCACCCGTTTTTAGGTGGAAAAGGGAGAATCGGAGAACCCTTCTTGCACCTGCTGTGTCTCAAGCGTCTTCAGCTCAAAATAATCCATGTGTCAAAGAGGCATATTTTGGGGTGGCATATGCTGACCTCTTCAATGGTAAGTTTTGTGTTTTGCATATTTTACCATGATGTTTTTAAAAAGGCAAATTCCCTTGGCCAGACAGCCTTATGCTGGCTGCAGCCAGACTTCTGTCGGGTTGGATTCCCCCAGCCTGGAACTCGCTCAGTGGAGGGCGAGAGGAGAGGCTGTCAAAGGAACTAGGTGTCGTTGAAGTGTTGAAATCAGATTTTACCTGGGACCATTACAATGGGAGAAAGGGGACTTTAGTATAGGACTGAGCTTGATTTTTTTTTTTTTTTTGAGACAGAGTCTCACTGTTGCCTAGGCTGGAGTGCAGTGATGCAATCTCGGCTCATTGTTATCTCTGCCTCTTGGGTTCCAGCGATTCTAGTTTCAGCCTCCTGAGTGGCTGGGATTACAGGCACACATCACCACACCTGGCTATTTTTTTTTTTTTTTTTGGTATTTTTTGG